CGTCGCGAAAGACGGAAACATGCCATCGTTTATGGATCATAACTCCTTGCCAAAGAATGTAATCGTATCTGTGCAGACACGCATGGGCGACGCCTTTGTATGCTTCATGTTCTCATCTACAGCCCAGTTGAACTTATCTTGTTTTATGGCTGTTGTGCATTATGAAGTCAGTCCTGTATCTCTTGCAGATCTAGGTTTCTCAGCAGGCGCCTTATGTGAGAAATAATTATTGTGAAACTCGGTGAGTGCATGCTTTCAAAGAGGCAAATACCAAAACGAAGGTCAGATTTCTGTGGTATGTTCTGACCAAATTTAGAAATTCATAGAATGGGTCAATGACATGTTTTACGTTGCTTTGGAGTTGTTTTCTGGTTCTTGGAGTTCAGCGGTTCTAAACAACAGAGGGAATTTTTGGTTGTTCCTCCACTCATGGATCTTGGTCTTGATCCAAAATTTGAATTTTGCGTACTTATCCGTTTTATAGATCTGGTTTATTTGTATGGCATATTGATGATTGATTGCCTCTCAGACAGATGCACTCCGACTGTAAAAGGCACACCCTAATTAGTCGCCTCTTACGACACCTTAGTTAGACGGTGGGGAAGTGACTATGTCTTTTTTCCCCCTCTCTCAAATGAAGTCATGGAACCCACATGGAAAACTTTAGACTTAAACAACATCATCATCACCATCGTTTTGTGTTTTTATATTTCATTTAGGGCTCACAGTTGATTCCTCTATTCCGTTCTTTCTTGTGCACGTTTTTTCTTCTTCTTCTTTCAATATAATGGATGGAATCCAATTCAGTAGCTTTGGTCTCTCTCACCAAAGTTTGTTTCAGGGTTTTTAAAGAATGTCCTCGTTTCTTCAGTGTATTTGTGTCCCATTTAAGCGATTCGGGTATGAAGAAATAAGGAAGGAAGAAGGATAGAAAATAAGAAGGATGGTAGGACGAATTGATGTCGACACGTAGGCGGGCTTATCTGTAAGTCAGTCAGTAGATAAAAAGGTCCTAAAAGGAGATAACCGAGATTACGGTAAATATAAAGATATAGCGGCGCTGACACAAAGTCCCCTTACAAATGTGGGTATGTGTGTGTGTGTGTGTGTGTCTGTGTATGTGAGAGAGAGAAAGAGAGAGAGAGCGCGCGCGCGCGCGCGCGACTAAGCCTTGTTTAAGCGCTTAGTAGTAATAATGTTCTGAATGACAAATATATACATATAATACTATTTTTGAAACAGTATTCAGTGTATAGGCGGTGTCAGTGGCTTTTGCGTTGTGAGTCCGACTCGTAATTCCAACGTCCCGCGATCGAAACCCACTGCTGGCTGCGGTTTTTTTTTAAATTATGGTATGGGGTGTCGCCGGACGATCCAGCTTAAAATGGATACTAGGATGTATGTCCTGGGGTAATAAAGACGACCGGCGTAATACTTACAACATTACCCACCTAGTGCCGATTGTTCTGTAAAAATATGGGTGCTTTTCCTAATTGTTCAATTCGCCGAAAGGCGTGAAAAGGAATCTTTACTTATTTTACTATTCACTGTTTAAACAAATACTTGAAAAGATAACTTCTACACATACATAATATGCTAGGTGTGGGTTGAGGGGGGGGCATCAATTTTCATGAAAGGGGGGGGGGCATACATTTCCGTGGGGGGGGGGGGGTCAAGGGTCAGTTGTTATGGTAGGGTGCCCAGTGGTTAAAGCCGCCATGTGCTGACGCCCGGCAACTTACACATATAGTGTTTTATCCAGAAAAAATGGCAGCTGTAGTATAAAGGCTGCCATTTTCACGCCTCAAAGCTGGGCACCAAGGTGGTAACCTAGATGGCGTCTCAACGCTTAGGCCACGCTGGGCACCTGGGTGCTAACCTTGATGGCGTCTCAACGCTTAGGCCACGCTGGGCACCTGGGTGCTAACCTTGATGGCGTCTCAACGCTTAGGCCACGCTGGGCACCAGGGTGCTAACCTTGATGGCGTCTCAACGCTTAGGCCACGCTGGGCACCAGGGTGCTAACCTTGATGGCGTCTCAACGCTTAGGCCACGCTGGGCACCTGGGTGCTAACCTTGATGGCGTCTCAACGCTTAGGCCACGCTGGGCACCAGGGTGCTAACCTTGATGGCGTCTCAACGCTTAGGCCACGCTGGGCACTTGCCTGGGGGTTTCACCAGCACAGGGACCCCGACATTGCCCTGTGTATGTCAAGTGACTTGCCCTATTTAGTTCTTGTGTGTGATTTTTGTAGGGACCCCAGAGCCTCAGTTTTCCTAGGGGCTAGTGCTGTTAATACAGTGCAACTCGGGCTTGCCCATATTTTGTATATATCAATCAGCATTCGATTGGTAGTGTTTATTCTTCTCCTCTTCTTCTTCTTCTTCTACTACTTCTACTAGTACTACTACTACTACTACTACTACTACTACTACTACTACTACTACTACTACTACTACTACTACTACTACTACTACTACTATTATTATTATTACTACTATTACTTGTTATGGTAGGGTGCCCAGTGGTTAAAGCCGCCATGTGCTGACGCCCGGCAACTTACACATATAGTGTTTTATCCAGAAAAAATGGCAGCTGTAGTATAAAGGCTGCCATTTTCACGCCTCAAAGCTGGGCACCAAGGTGGTAACCTAGATGGCGTCTCAACGCTTAGGCCACGCTGGGCACCTGGGTGCTAACCTTGATGGCGTCTCAACGCTTAGGCCACGCTGGGCACCTGGGTGCTAACCTTGATGGCGTATCAACGCTTAGGCCACGCTGGGCACACCAGGGTGCTAACCTTGATGGCGTCTCAACGCTTAGGCCACGCCCCGGCTGGGCACCAGGGTGCTAACCTTGATGGCGTCTCAACGCTTAGGCCACGCTGGGCACCTGGGTGCTAACCTGATGGCGTCTCAACGCTTAGGCCACGCTGGGCACCAGGGTGCTAACCTTGATGGCGTCTCAACGCTTAGGCCACGCTGGGCACTTGCCTGGGGGTTCACCAGCACAGGGACCCCGACATTGCCCTGTGTATGTCAAGTGACTTGCCCTATTTAGTTCTTGTGTGTGATTTTTGTAGGGACCCCAGAGCCTCAGTTTTCCTAGGGGCTAGTGCTGTTAATACAGTGCACTCGGGCTTGCCCATATTTTGTATATATCAATCAGCATTCGATTGGTAGTGCTTATTCTTCTCCTCTTCTTCTTCTTCTTCTACTACTTCTACTAGTACTACTACTACTACTACTACTACTACTACTACTACTACTACTACTACTACTACTACTACTACTACTACTACTACTACTATTATTATTATTACTACTATTACTACTACTACTACTACTACTACTACTACTACTACTACTACTACTACTACTACTACTACTACTACTACTACTACTACCACTACTACTACTACTACTACTACTACTACTACTACTACTACTACTACTACTACTACTACTACTACTACTACTACTACTACTACTACTTGTTTGTTCGCCCACCTCTTGACATTAGTTTTGTTCCAGAACTTGGATTGTGCGTACACATCAGTTTTACGGATCTGGAAAGTTCCCGAAAGCTTGCGGGAAAACGATCGGCGGTGCAGCCAAAGCTACGTTTGTTTTCCATAAAATTTACCTATATTGATTGCATTAGAGATTGAAAGAGTCACTGATTCTTTGAGACTCCACAACATTACACCGGGGCAACCGAGCGTGCCATAGCTCGGATACTAATCATCTAGATGCTTAGATGCTCAAAGCAGATTTTGCGCCCTGAATGGGGAGAAAAATTACACTTAACCTCTCTCGCCTGGATCTACACACCTGATCATGTTGGCGTAAAGGGTAATGCGCGAGCGCACCCACTGGCAGGCAATGCACTAACGCATGTGTAAAGAAGTGTGAACACAGTAGATATCAATGGTGTATGGACTGGCCTAGTCCATTTGCCACGAATCTTTTACACTAACACGATTGCGTGACATGGGAGTACAGCATGGTGAAGCACGTCTATGCCGCCTCCGAGGCCGGGATATGAGACATTATAATCAACATCTCATGGGAACAGTTAGGAGAATTACTTTGGAATGGCTGCTGCATCGGAGGACTGAGCACACATGGGAATGCCCAATACGCAGTAACGTGGATTGTGAAAACATATGTTTATCACATGTAGGGTACGGGGAGGGGGGGATTATGCTGCAGAGGCCGACCAACACGAAGATGGACACCTGATATAAGTGACCCTTTGAGTATGAAAGTACATGAGGCCGGAGAGCTGGCGGGAGACCGATTTTTTTTTCAGGCAGACTGTGATGAGAGCGACGTTCTGCAAAGGACCTGCTACATGATGATGATGATGCTAAATAGAAAGCATGGTTAGTGGGGGAAACAAAATCTGAAGGCGGCCCGTCTCTCTAGCGTAGTTGGCTAAACCGGATTGCGCGGTGAGCGAGTGACGAACTCCTTGTGGTCCGGGTTCACTCCCTGGGGTGTGCAGAAAAGCCACGTTTCTCCCAGATTTACGGTATTTACAATGGAATCAAGGCCGAAAGGTTGCGATATCCATAATACCAAGCCTAGGGGGTTAACAAATCACGGCTTCTGGATACTAGAACAAACAAACAAATCTGAAGTCTATCGGAACAGTCAGACATGAAACCTAACCACAACAAACCCCTCCCCGACCGCCAGTCAATAAACTACTAACCAGTTTCCCAGATTCGCATGGCTTGTAAATAAACCTACTTAGCAACTTGATTTGCGTTCACAGCTGTTATGATGGTCACGTGCCACTGACTGTGTGCTTCATTCTGTTTATTCACCCCAGGTACGGCGCGCCAGAGCAAGGGACGCTAACCGCGGTTCGTGGAGCTCCCAGCCAGGTGACATACCTACCCCCTTGACGGCCAGACAGGCATGAGGAGAACAAAAAGACGTACCTTCAAGCAGACCGTATCACAACTTGGCGTGGCTCTCTCAGACAGGAGATGGTGGCACGGGAATTTCGCGATGTGTTGAGTGTGATAGCCACCATTCTGTGGAGTATTTTCTTGATGCCTCATTTGGTAGACAGCGTCAACGGTGAGTTGATTTGTTTTTATTGCTGTGTGTTTGTCGGTTTAAATTTTAATCAATTTACTGTTGATAGTTTAGCGTGTGTGTGTGTAAAGTGAACCCAGGGAATTTCTCCAGTTAATTCTAATTGTGCTTTGTTTTTTGCCTGTGTGTGACGCTTGTATGGAATTACTCTCCTCATCTTATTAGAATTTCCTATGCGTGTTATTGTGTAGATAGGTGGTATGCAGGTAGTTGCAAAGACACAAAACAGTAGATTTATAATAACAGCCACTTTGTGGCAGATATCGGCACTTTTTAGACTCTTTTCTCGAGAAAAGAAAAAAAACACAATTATGGATAGATTACGTCTTAATATATGTGTTTTTATATATCGGTATGCAGATAGATACTGAGACACAACGTAGATAAAAGTATGTGTTTTTGTGCGGGAAAGTAGGTGTTAATATAGATAAATAGATAAATACAAACCCTAATAATACAATCATAATAATTTCCTAGTATCACTTGCGATTGCTTTGTATCTAAAGACACTTATAGTGAGTAAAAACATCTCCTGCTCGTTTTAACTTCTTCTGGTCTCTCGCACAGAAACCTAATTTCTTTTTTTTTTTTTTATTTTAATTATGGTCTTATCCGTTTATAGTTCACTTGTATATGCCATAGGTCGGCGTCTGTGGCTTAGGCGTGGCGAACGCACTTCGTAATGCCGGGGTACCGAGTTCGATCCCAGTTGCCGACAATTTGTCTTGCATTGGTTTCGCTATGGTACCGGGTGGCTGACCGTTAGGTTGCAACGGCAAACTGCTGTACGAAAAATTTGCCTTGAAAAATCAAAACGGCCAAACAAAAAAAAACAAAAAAATCAACCCCAGAAAAATGCTGGGGTAGGTTCTGCAACTTCCTGTATGTAAAAGATACGCAACTAACCTATTTATATAACAGACTTTTATAGTTCGGATGACAACAGATGCTAGACCCTATCTTGGTTGGAAATATGCACATAGTTGATGTGAACATTTCTAGTTTTGTTTGCAATCGATACTATTCTAGGCGCACACCCGTGTTCTCAGCGGTTCTCACACTATTGTCGCAGTAGTCGTCGTGAATAGGGCTGCAAACACAACATCCGAGGGTCTGTGTGGGTGGGATAGACTGATAGGAAGGTAGCTAGGGAAATTCGTAGACGCGTCTATCTATCTAGCTATCTATCTATCTATCTATCTATCTATCTATCTATCTATCTATCTATCTATCTATCTATCTATCTATCTATCTATCTATCTATCTATCTATCTATCTATCTATCTATCTATCTTTCTATCTATCTCTGTGTCTGTCTCACTTGTCTATCCATCTATCTGTTCATCTATCTATTCATTATCTATCTATGCTTAGGCTATTCAAATCTACCTGAGAATTTGTTTTTGACACTAATTCAGTCGCCTGGGCGATTCTGTAACAACGTGATAATTGCAACATGAACTATTTTAACCGACTTTGCTTGACGTATATAATATATGATATTATCCAGAACACATACACGGGTACCTTCTTTCTTTACCAATACAACAAATAGGAGATAAGTACTGAAGTTACAAACGCGGGAAGTCACAACTGGCGAAGAGTTAACACGAATACTGGTGTTTTGTTGACAAAGACTCTAGTGGAAACGTTAGCTTCTTAATGTTATCGGTGTGTATTTCTTTCGTCAATTTTCTTTGCTGCTAATGTGGTTATTCTCGCATTCATTCTTCTCCTAACCATCGTGGTGAAAATATTTCTCCCACACCTGCCAGGGGCGAAGACATGTTAATTTGGTTGTCACATTGTCTTATTAATACTACATATGCGCCTGTTCTTTCCTTGGGAGCCGCCGTAGTGAAGCTGTTAGACGCTCGCCTTCGGATCAGAAAGTCGTGGGTTTGGGTCTTTACGGAGCCGTACTTTTAAAAAAAAATGACCTTGGCTCTTAGGTCGATCCAGCCTTGAATGGGTACCAGGTACAAACCTGAGAAGTAAAGGCGGTCGGCGTATTTTAATCACATCACCTAGTAATGCAGACTGGTCGATAAAATATAGGTCATGTCCCATACGCCTAAAGGCGTGGAAGAAGAGTTCTTTACTTTCCTTTAACCAACTTGCTTAACTGTCACTTTGTTTATTCTTGACGTAACACAAGTGGAGAAACTGCTTGTCTTACAACTCGCCACGGGGCGATCTAGCGAGGGTTTTGTGTAAGATGGAGTACGACGTTGTTTGTCCGGGCCCCTCTTGAAAGCACACCCCGGGGCTTCCCTTGACCTGCTTAATTGGTTGCCTCAAACCCAGGGTGTGTTCTTCAGTAGAGAAAGCCTAAACTGGTGTGTCTAGTTGTCCACGAGAAGAACCGGCCTATGTGATTCCAAAGTGGCGAAAAAAAAGTAATTAACTGCCGCTGCTTCTACGAAGCCGGACAATGAATCGACTATGGACAATTTAGAAAAAACTGCTGCAACATTCTTCTTCCTATTATAGTCCATGCCATGTGGTGTTGGTAGTCATGGTTATCCTCAACCTTCTGTCGCGTGTATTTCTAACAGATGATGTACCATGCCATGATGTCAACTGTCCAGCACCTTCTCTCTCCCTTTCCATCTGCCTTTCTCCCCACCCCCTCTAAAACTTTCCCACTGTCACGATGTACTCCAGTTTTCTCACCACATGACCAAATAATGCAGACTGTCCCCTTCTGTTGCGGGCAATCAGTTCTCTTTGTGCGTCAGTGTACCTACAGACATCTTCATCGCTCTGTTTATCTGTACAGGGCATTCCAATCCTTTGCCTATAAAACCACATATCCACCGCTTCCAATTAATTTGTCACTAATCGTCAAATTGTCCATGATTGTCTACTGTACATCGGGACATGATTTATACAGCTCTTGATAATTCTCTTTCTCCTCTTAACTGACAAAGAAATATTGCATAGAATATTCTTTTTTTTTTTTTAAATACTGCCTTAACTTGAACCATTCTACATTTAACTTCTTTAATACATCTTTTGTCTGCTGTTATCAGGGTACTCAGGTACTTAAACGTATCGACTTTCTTGAGGACTGTCCGATTAACTTTGATGTTGCCTTTTGGAGAGTCCATTTTCTTTGTATTACTAATACTTCTGTGTTTATCCCCCCCCCCCCCCCCCCTTTTTCCCCGCTGTTCAAAGACTCTTGTTCTGACTTTATGTTACATTTATGTCCATCTTTTCTTACAGTTGTCTTTTTCATTGTTTATAATTAAAACTATATCGTCAGCATATCGCAGGTTGTTCAGTTTGCATACCATCCGATATTACTGGCATACTTTGTATAAAGTAAAGGACCCCTTTCCACGCCTTCGTGTGTATTGTAAACAGACAATGTATTGATTGGCACTCATAGAAAGACAAACCAGACAACAATACAATCAAAAGCTATATTTACCGTGCCAGGAATCTAACCTGTAACTCCACAATGCATGTGCGCCTCGCTATGGAAACAAGTGTACTAAGATATACGAACAACTAGCACCTGGTATATTGAATTCGGTGAAGACCTTGTGTGGAGTTTACTACCTCATCGGTCCTAAAAGGCGTTTGCTGAAAATCGCAGAAATCACAGCCTGTTTTTTTTTTTATTCAGGTGTATTGGGCACATTGGGCAAGTCCTATGTTTTATTTGGCACTTGGTGGGTGGTGAGGTCAGCATCCCACCGGCCACCTTTACTTTCAAGGACAGCTTTGCTGTAGACACATCAGATTTACGTCGTGTACTAGTCACGACTAATGCAGGCTAGAGAAGTTAGTCAATATTGAGAAACAGCTTGCCGCATATCTGGCCAAGAGCAAATGGCAACGGGTGTGGGGGTGTGTTCGAAACTAGGCTTGTTTGTATAGTCCCCACTTGAAAGCACACCAGAGTATGAGACGACTGGTCTCCTGAGTCGGCGGGGGACCTACACAACCCTGGGGTATGGACTTCATGGGAGTCCTCGTGTGGGTTTTACTACCTCGTTAGTGGTAATCGGCGAGTAATTTTGAGTTTGCATAAGAGCACAGTTATTGCAGTCAACCTTTACACCACAACACAACGTGCCAATCGAATCGTGCTCAGCCGGAAAAAAAATTTTTTAGGTTGAAAATCAAACAGATCGTGTGTGTGTGTACAATTGTTGGGCTCTAAATTGAAATCTGCGGGGGCGAAATCAAACTGTCTGTCTATAACAACTACAAAATATTAAAACGTACTTAAACTGACACTTTAAAAAAAAAGACCGAAATGCTTACAATTCCGACATCAGTTTTTCAGAGAGTTAACAACGTCTTTGGCTGGGTAACAACTATTAATTGGAAGGCAGGCAACACATTTTAATACCAAGTTCTTTGATTTGTTCCACTCGCCTGGTATCGATTTGCAATAACCGGTAGCGTGCTTCCGAAAAACCGTCTGCCCTACCCCGACACCTGGTTGCCATGTGTACTTGCGGAGTCACGGTAGATTTAACATACATCTGTGTTTAATATTTCAAACGCCTGCCCTCCTGTGTAATTTCCGGACTGTGGACCATCAGCGTCAGTAGATTCTTTGCGGAACATCGCCCTTCTCACGGGTACGACTGAAAGTCTTTGTGTCTAGCCAAATGTCCAGCCCTATGTGATTTCATGGCCATTGCATCTTCAAGTGCTAGAATTGGCCTTATCAGCCATGCACACTCACAAACCATATCTGGTTACCCATGGATGAAAGGATTGGTTATCATCAATCACCGGTAGTGGACGAACAACAATCTACTTTTGCTGAGGTCGCTCTTGCCTCAGGCCCCCCCCCCCCCCCCCGGAAACTGTACCCGTCTTCAACGCGGCCACCTCCCCAAATGCCACCATACCGTTAAACATGACCAAACACCAAAGCTTTTGGAGCAGGATGCTGTTTATGAGCCAGTTCTCCACAATGTTCAGAGCATACATGATGTTTTGTCTTGGTTCGC